TGGCACTCCCCACCCGCGGCTCCCTGTGCGCCGGAAGCCCTCCTTCCGGGGAACGACGAGGTCCCAATTCCTTTGTGTTTACTTAAACTTGTTGTATGAGTTAGTATGTTGTCCATTTATTGATTTTTTTTTTTGTCTGCTTGATCTATTTGTGACAAAAGTATTGAGGTCCCTCATAACAATTGTATTACAGCTTATTTAATGTTTCGTGTCTGTTAATATTTGTTTTATATAGTTGGTTGGACAAGTATTTGGTGCATATATATTTATGGTTGTTATCTCTTCCTCTGGGATTGTTCCCTTAATCAGTATGTAGTGACCTTTGTTTCTCTTGATCAGTCTTGGCTTAAAATCCACTTTGTCTGCAAGTAGAATAGCTGCCCCTGCTCTTTTCCAGGTTCCTCTCACAGAGTATTGTTTTCCATCCTTTGACTCTCAGTCTCTGAATTTCTTTGAGTTAATTGTGTTTCTTGTGTGCAGCATTTTGTTGGATCTTTCTTCTTGATCCATTCTGCCAGTCTGTCTCTTTTGATTGGTGAGTTGAGACCATTTACATCGATAGTTGTAACTGGTAAGTATGAACTTATCCTTGCCATGTTATTTTCCTGTTGTTGGTTCCCTTTCTTTCCCCTCGTTTAATTGCTTGCCTTACCTGGTAGACTTATTCTATTGGAGTTCTTAGAGTTGTAGTCTTCATTATCTCTTTTTAGAATGTCCTTCAGAACATTTTGGAGTGCTGGTTTGGTGGTCATGCATTTCCTGAGGTGTTCTTTCTAATGGAAGTATTTTATTTCTCCATCAGTTTGGAAAGATAGTTTTGTGGAATACTTTAATCTGATTTGGAGGTTGTTTTCTTTTAGGGCTTGAAATACTTCACTCTAAGCTCTCCTTGACTTGGGGATTTGTGTTGAGAAGTCTGCTGTGATTTTAATGGGCTTTCCTTTATAGGTAATTTGTTCCTTTTCTCTATTGACTTTTAATATCCTATTCTTGTGTTGAATTTCTGAAATCTTAACTATTATATGCCTTGGTGTAGATTTTTCTTCCTTTTTATCAGGGCGACTTGGAGTTCTGTATACTCTATGCCTTGGTATAGATTTTTCTTCCTTTTTATCAGGGCTACTTGGAGTTCTGTATACCACCTCTATATGAAATTCTTTTTCCATGGTTAGGAAGTTTTCTGCCATTGTGAACAGGTTTTTTTGTGTCATTTGCTCTGTCTCCTACTTTATCATTGACTCCAAATAATTTTACATGATTCTTCTTTGCATCATCTAGCAGCTGTTGGATGGCTCTCTCGTGGTCCCTTGCTATTTTTAAGAAAGGTTTCTTTTCATAATCACTAACCACAAACCTGTCTTCTAGATGTGATATTCTTTCCTCACATTGGTGCATTCTGCTGCATATACTTTCAATAGAATTTTTAATGCCCTGGATATCTGTTTGAATCTGTTTCATGGGTTCCATTTATTTCCTATGTTAAACATTCATGGTTTCCATCATTTTTGTAAGATCCTCTATTTTTTTATGTGTCTACTCTAGATTCACTAATGATGGTTTGCCTCTGGAGAGCCAGCAGTCTGAGCTCCCATGTCTTCCCATTTTCTTTCCTCTTTTCTATAAGCTCAGTTTTTGTGTTGATGCTTGCAAATTGCTTATGGTAGGTAGCTTTATTGCTAGTATTGAGAACCCTTAGTAAGTGACTTTTCAGAGATGTCTTGTAGGTGTAGCTGGCTTTTGGCTTTTGAGTCTGTTGCAAGATCTTATCCCTTCAATTTATTGGGAGTGAGAAGTTGCTGCCTATTTGGAGGCCTCTGGAGTCACAGAAAGTCACTGGCTTTGCACATTCAAGCCACTCCTCCCACACTGTGAGCCCAGATTTAGGGAAAATGTGCCACTTGCCATGTCGTTCCTCTGTATTGAGGTCTCTTCCCTTCACTCTCCCCATGGGCTCCAATTCTTGCTTCAGATCTTTGCTGGGTCTTGGGGCCCTACTTCCCTCCTACATGTTGCTGTATTCCAGCATTAGGGGTCCAAATTGCAGAGAGGCTGTTTTGCTCCTGCTTACCCCTCCACTATCATCCTGGAACTTCTCCTGGCAGACTTTAAAGAGTAAAAAACATGTAAAACTTTGGTAGAGATAAAAGACAGTTTATAATGATAAAAAGGCCAATCCAGGACAATAAAACAATTACAGATGTATATGTGCCTAATAATAAAACACCAAAATATGTGAAGTAAAAATGAGAGAACTCATTGGAGAAATATTCAACAATATTGGTTTTAAATTCAACAAAGGTAGTTTTTAAATTTAAATATGCCTTCTAGGCATGGTGTCACATACCTGTTATCCCAGCACTCAGGAGGCTGAGGCAAGAAGATCGCTGTGAATGTGAGACCATTCTGGACTACGTAGTGAGACCCTATCTCAAAAAACAAAACAAAAAAAAGATCACAATACAATAAATTTAAATACCCCACTTCAATGATAGGTAAATAACTTGATAGGTCAATTAGGAAGACTTGAGTGATATGATAAACCAACACAACCTAGTAGCTATTTCTAAAATACCCTTACAGCAGTAGACTATGTACTGTTCTTTCGGGCCCATTAAATATATTCTTCAGGACAGAACATATGTTAGGTCATCAGGCAAACCTCAGTAGATTTAAAAGCATAGAAATAATAAAAGTATGTTTTCTAATCCCCAAAGAAGGAAATTAGCAGTAGCAGGAAAAACTGGTGAAACTTAAGAAATGTGTGAAAATTAAACAACATACTTCTAAATAATCGGTGAGTCAAAAAAGAAATAACATGGGAATCAGAAAATTCTTAGAGATGAATAAAGATAAAACATACTAAAACTCTGTCAATAGTTAATGATATTGGGAAAGGTATTGTTTCCCTGATTTCTTCCTCAGTGAGTTTATTATTGGTATACAGGAATGCTACTGATTTTTGTGTGTTAACTCTGTATCCTGCTGCACTACAAAATTTGATTATTAATTCTAGGAGTCTTTTCATGGAATTTTTAGGGTCTTACAAGTAGAAGATTATGTCATCTGCAAATAATGATACTTTGACTTTGTCTTTTCCTATACATAATCCCTTCTATTTCTTTCTGTTGCCTGATGGTTCTGTTAATGTTTCAAGGATTTTGTTGAACAGGAATGGTGACATCCTCATCTTGTTCCTGATTTTAGAGGGACGGCTTTCAGCTTTTCTCTGTTTAATATGATGTTGGCAGTAGGTTGCTCATAAATGACTTTTCTCAGATTGAGATAAGGTCCTTCTATACCTGTTTTCTTCAGGATTTTTATCATGAATATATGTTGGATTTTGTCAAAGATGTTTTCTTCATCTATCAAGTTGATCATGTGATTTTTGTCCTCGCTTCTATTTATGTGATGAATTACATATACTGATTTATTGAACCACCCTTCCATCACTGGGGTAAAGCCTACTTGGTCGTGGTGTTTGATTGTTTTGATGATTTGTCGCAATTTGCCTGTATCTTGTTGAGGTTTTTGTTGGTTGGTTTGGTTCAGTTCAGTTCAGTTCAGTTTTTGAGACAAGGTCTCACTATGTAGTTCAGGCTGGCCTTCAACTCACGGCGATCCTCCTGGCCCAGCCTCCCAAGGACTGGGAGTACAGCCTGGCTCCTTATTAAGGATTTTTGCATTTATATTCTTCAGGAACACTGGCCTATAGTCCTCTCTTTTTGGATCCTTGTCTGGTTTTGGGATCAGAGTAATCTTAGCTTCCATGGATGTTCTCCTTCTCTTTCTGCTTCATTTCTTCTTCAGTTTCATTGTCTGTTATTGGTGTACACCCAGCTTCCACTGCACCTAGCTTCCAATTAAATTTTGTTAAATTAATTTTGACCCAATATTTTAAGAAATAAATAATAGAAATCAGAACAATGGTTGCCTGTGGCAAAGTAGAGATTGATTTAGGGTCACAAGGGAACTTTCTAGAGTAATAAGAATGTTCTATAATTTGATGGGGAGTTGTTTACCTGGGTCTTTTTTTTAAAACCTCATTGAGTTTTATGTTTAAAAGTCTTCCCACACACTCTGAATTTTATCTCAATTTTAAATAGAGAAATGTATACATAAATAGATCTTCAAGACATTTAAAAGGTGAACTGCAGAATGAGACATACAATACGCAACTGTTTATTTTTTTAAACAAGGGAGAGAGGAAGGAAGGAAGGATGGATGGGTGGATGATCACTGGGGCAAAATTACTTATTTCTGTGACTCTCCACTCATGCAAGCGTACCAGGGTCTTGGGCCCGGCCACTGCATTCAACCGCAAGATTCTCCCTCAGATATGCTTCCTCAGATATCCTTATATGCTCTTAGGCTTTCTTTCTGGGATAAAAAAAATTTCTATTATAATATCATTAGCATAAATGTCATTTTCAGTGCTGATTATTATATTCACTGATATTTTCCAATGAAAAACGTATTCAATTTCTGAAAAATTTTAACTTAAAAAAACCTGTTTGTAGAGATCTCTGGAAACCAGCATGTGGTACCATCACTGACCTCTAGAAGCAGCGAGGAACCCGAGTTCTTGCTCCGGCCCTGCTGCCGAAGAGTCGTATGTGGTGGAGCCCAGCACTTAGTCACTCTGGGCCTCCGTTTTCTTGTTGATGAATGAGCGATTTGGACCAGTGACTAAGGGTCTTGTGGGCCTGAGGTCCAGTCAGCCCTGTTCCTTTGTGTGGGCCTTATGTGGAGTGGGTCACTCGGCATGCAAGGCACATGGGAAGTAAGAGCTCGTGCTTTTTATGTTTTGAAACAGGTGACAACCAAAGCCAAGCAACTGAAGGATTCTGTTACCTGCTCCCCAGGTGAGTCAGAACCCACCTTAACCCACTACTCTAAAGTGGTATCTTCCAAATAAACCCCTGTTTATAATAACTTATTTAAGTATAAGGGTGTGATCATTTTATCCAAGGAACCCTACTCCTACTGATCCTTTTAAAAGAGATTGAATTCCAGGCCCCGGACAGGCCAGCCCAGCCCTGCACAGACAGTTGGCATGGAGAGGCACATTTCCTAAGTTTAAAGAACCCTGCAGTTTTTGTCCTTCTCTAGTATCTGCAGGAAAGGACATGCAGGAGAACACCAACCTGCACATCATGCCAGTACCCGGTGCAGTTTCCCTGTGCTGCCCATCATTGTCACAGGCACCGAGCCACCCTCAAGACAGATAGCAGCCTCCCTGAGAATTTGTTTCTCAAAATCTGGAGTCTTAGCCGGGTGTAAGTGGTTCACGCCTGTAATCCCAGCATTCAGGAGGCTGAGGCAGGAAGATTGCTGGGAGTTCGAGGCCAGCCTAGGGTACAAAGTGAGCTCAAGGCAAGCCTGAACTGCATAGTGAAAGCCTGTCTCAGAAAGATGAAAATTAATTAATTAAAAAATAGAAAACCCAATAAAATAGTGATAAAGGGAAGAAAATGTAAATCATATATAACCTACCCATTATGTCATTTTAGCACTACATAGTAGTTTATAATGCAGACATCTCTTAGTTTATTTAACAGGTTCCTAGTGTTGGACATTTTGATTCTTCCTTACTTTTCTTTCCTTCTTTCTTTCCTTCTTTCTTTCCTTCTTTCTTTCCTTCTTTCTTTCTTTCTTTCTTTCTTTCTTTCTTTCTTTCTTTCTTTCTTTCTTTCTTTCTTTGTGACAAGCTCTTACTGTGCCCAGTCTGGCCTCCAACTCCTAGATTCAAGCCACCTGCAGCTGGGGTACAGCTAGTGACCCTTTGTATATAGGAACACTATGTTAGGGTTTCTCCTGAGCTTTATTTTTTTTTTTTTCAGTCCTGGGAATCGAACTCACGACCTTGCACTTGCCAGGCAGGCGCTGTGCCACTGAGCTAAAGCCCCAGCCCTGAGCTTTATTTTTATCTGAGAACAACGAGAAGCAGATTCTGTTTTCTTATATCTAACGCACTGGTTCACGCTGTGCCCTCTCTGTGTGTGCAGGGTGTGTGTCACCCTGGGTGCTGATGTTCCTGAGGGAGGAGTGGGGACCCCTGGCACTGACAGGCCGAGGGTGGCGCCTCTCCGCACTCACGCTGTCACTGCCAACACGGTGAACAGAATACCCGCGGAGCAGGTTCACGGTAGCCCAGGAATCATCATTCCAGTAAGATGGAGAATAACCACAGAACTGTTCCCTGTCACACAGAAGCTTCCTTGTAGTTTAACAAAGTGTTTTAAAAAGTTATGGAATTTAAATTTCACATTTTCAGTCAAAGGAGTTCTAAACGTGGTGCCAAATAATAAAATATTTCTGTATAATAGAGACAGCTTATTAATAATGAACATGAAGGTAACTGTTCTGAAATATTTAGAATATTTTGAAAACAGATTCTTGAAAATAGATCTGTGTTGTCTGGGGCTATTTTGTAGTCAAAGTGATGAGACATAAAAACTACAGACTACAGAATTCTCAAAGTAGGATTTTAACCTGTAAATCCTCCAAACCAAATCATGCTAAAAATACAAATGTGTGAACACTGTCCGTTTGGTTTACAGAAACAACTGAGTGGTTTAGGGAAGATTCCTATAAAAATCTCAGTAATTTGGATTGCACATGAACACTGAAGTTTGGGAAACGCTACCAGTGTGCTGCCCTGCATACGCTGGAGGAATGGATGTACTTCCGGCAGTCTCTTCCCCCCTCAAAGGCCATTACCAGTGCGGCACCGGAGTGGACAGACCTTGGAACTAACCTGTTCATGTACCGTTTTACGTAGTGTTCAACAACTTCTCGGTCCCTTGTTTCTATACTCCTAGTAAGATTTCAATGAGAATGTTTTGTTTCACGTAATAGCACTTTTAGGAAAGAGCCAATCCGCCAGCCCTGGCCCCGATTACGGAGCCTTCCCGGCAGCCGCCCCTGCCTTGCCCAACGCCACCGCTCCCAGAGGCGACTCCGATTCGGAGGCTCACTCCCGGGAGGTGGTGGGCCCCCATGTCTGGGCCTCCACAGTACACTGTCGCAGGGGCGCCCGCCCTGGTACATGTGGCCCGGTGGACAGAAGCAGTAAAAGCAGCTGGCATTCACAGGGCACCCGTGTGAGCCCCTGTGCCATCTCAACTAGTCTTGCCAGTTCTGGAGGAATGCGCTCAGGCCTCACACGCTCCACAAGCTGCAGGCGCTCTTCTGAGTGCCAGGGCTTGCGTGGTGACCATCCCCTGGCGTGGTGGACAGGAGAGGACTGTGTCCAGCCAAATGTCATCCACGGCAGTGTCGTGAGAGGAACAGGGCACTTGGCCCAGCTCTGCACCAGCGCGGGCACTGGCTGTGAGTGCAGCTTTCCTACCACAGGCTTTTCCCCTGGACAGGCTCACATTTTCCCGACGTGTGCTTAGGAAACACAGCTTCCTCTGTGTGTGTCTGTCTGTTACCAGCAGTTTAAGGCGTGGCCAGCTGCATGTTGTCTCACTGGGCAGACCAGCTGGACCAAGAAGCATCCATGCGCAGGCCCAGAAAGTCCCGGTATCAGTCTCCCATGTCCAAGCTAGAGGCTCTCGAAGGTGACCCCTGGGACAGCTCATGCCAGAAACACCCGAGGGCCCTTTGGACAGGGCCTTTTCAGGGAAGTAATGTAGAATTCAGAGACTAAGAAATTTGGGGCTGGGGATTTAGCTCAGTGGCACAGCACCTGCCCGGCAAGCGCATCCCTGGTACCGAAACAAAAAAAAAACTCAACAGCCATTTCTTCTTTTTTTTTTTTTGGCAGTACTAAGAATCAAACCCAGGGAAGCTACTGCTGAGCTACATGCCCAGACCTTTTCATTTTGTGAAACAGTGTTGCTAAATTTTCTTTTCTTTTCTTCCTACCTTTCCTCATTAAATGCTGTATTAGGGGTGAATGGATCTGATGCAAACAAGAAATCCGCAGAGATGGCAGCTGTGTGTTCAGTGTTGATGGGGTTCGTACTCAGCAGGAGGCTGGGAGCAACTGAAAGAGCTGTCTGGAAGGAATGTGGAGCTGAGTCAGGACAAACCCACTGGGTGGAGCATTGCACAGCCACTAGCAACAGTGGGGACCCCGTGAGCCCACACAGTTGGGTCGGGACGCATGTGCTGCCACCCACATGAGCAGGGAGGGGTGAATCACAGTCACCCGAGCTTGGCTGACGGTGCTGCAGAAAGCCTACTGTGGTAACCACCAGCCCCGGGGAGCTACTGAAAATTAAAGTTCAAATTCGTCAGAATTAAATACATTTTAAAACTAAGTTGCTCGGTGACAAATTAAGTGGTTAACGGCATCAAAGATTTTTTTTTTTTTTTTTTTTTGTAAACAGTCTTGCTAAGTAACTGAGTCACTCTGTCCCAGGCTGCGTTTAAATTTGCAAACCTCCTGCCTCAGCCTTCCACCACGCTGGGGTTTCACAGAATGCTGTTAGCCCAGGGATAGATCAGTTCCTGCACCTCCATGTCCATGTTCCCCTTGTCTCTGCATCTTTGCCAGTACTGGAGATGGTCCTTCTTTATTTTGTCTTTTAAAAAAATTAGTTTCCAGGGCTGGGGCTGTAGCTCAGCAGTACAGCACCTGCCTGGCGAGCACAAGGTCCTGAATTCGATTCCCAGCACCAAAAAAAGAAAAACTTAGTCTCCTATTTTCCAGTCTTTGCCAGTTGAATGATTGGAAGGTGGGCATTTGTTGTTACACTTTACATCTTGGTCACATTTTAAAGCTATTTGTATTTCTTCCTTTGTGAGGTAAAAGGCTTTAACTTTAACAAACCGTTTTCTGCTCAGTTCAGCGCTTCTGACAGCTGCTGGGCCCGACCCTGCCGCGCCCCCTCTGAGCCTCCGGCTGTCCCCTCCTAACAGGTCCCCGTGGCCTTCGGATCACAAAGCCTCTGGGTCACCTTGGCTGTAAGGAACAGGTGGGCTCAGGCAGAGAGGGTCCCGGCCGCCCCCTGCGTTCTCCTGGGCCTCTCCTCGGACTGCTGGGAGCGGCTGCCGCCGGGGGCCAGTCCTGTCCCCCAGGTCCCTCCTGGGCCTGCCATCCTGGGCCTTGGCTGCAGCGGGGCCAAGGAATCCGGGGACCTGATCCCGGCCGGCCGCATCGGAGCTCGTTTGCATCTCCCTGTGCTGTGCCCTCTCCTAGGGATGGTCAAGCTTTCCGAACTCAGGTCCTCGGCCCAGACCCCCAGGCCCACGAAGGCCGCCGTGGCTCTGCCCGACGACATCATCACCCAGCGGGAGGAGGACGCCGAGGCCCCTGAGGTCGCCGAGATCCCCGAGGCCCGGGCGCGGCGGCGCCGGCTGGAGGAGAAGGCGCGCGGGCGGAGGCAGCGGGACTTCGAGGAGGAGGCGGGGGCGCAGGCCGAGTCCAGCGACGAGGACGACGAGGACGAGCAGCGGCGGGAGCGGCCGTGGACGCAGGGCCAGCAGCGGCTCCTGGAGCTGGCCCTGCAGCAGTACCCGCGCGGCGCCGCCGACCGCTGGGACAGGATCGCCCGCTGCGTCCCCGCCAAGAGCAAGGTGGGTGCGGCCCAGCTCCTGACCCTCTGCTGGTCTCCTGGGGTCTCCTGGGGCGGGCCGACCTGGGCCGGGCTTCACAGAGACCCACACGTACACGCAGGCCCTCGCTGTGTGGGCCCTGCCGGCCTTGGACTCGTCGCGACCCTCCTGCCTCAGGCTCCAGAGTGGTGGGAGCCGAGGGACTGGTGCCGCGTGAGGCTGCAGCAGCCGTGTGACCAGAGGGGCTGGGCAGGAGCTCGGGGCCACCAAGCTCTGGAACCTCGCGCCTGCGGGAGGCGGGAGGCTTTAGGGGGCTGACCAGGAGGACTGTAACGGGCTGGGTGTGACTGGTTCTGGGCCGTCGCCCCCAGCTCTGAAGGCTGTAAAGTGTATCTAATACATCGGGCAAAGGGGTGCAGGCGGCGGGGAGCGGCCGCAGCCCTCCGGGGCCTGCCCTCCTGGGCCCTGGCCGCAGCGGGGCCGAGGAATCCGGGAACCTGATCCCGGCCGGCCGCATCGGAGCTCATTTGCATTTTTTTAAATTGAAATTCCACAGCAGGAACCTGGCTTGTGACCGTGGGTCCCTGGGTGCACAGGTCTGGTTACCTGTCGCCCCCTTGGAAATGGTGAGGAGCCAGGGAGAAGAACGAACGTTACCCGGAGCCCCCTGTGATGGTGGCTGCTCCCGGGCTCCAGCTGGCTGCCAGGAGCCCTGATTTTCCCTGATTTTCCTCCAGACTCCTCGGGAGGGGCATGACAGTGACAAGCCTGTTGCCTTAAACTGGGGGCACGGTGACGCTCGGATCTTCCTGCTTCGGCGGGGCGTGAGCAGGGCCTCCGTGCCCCCCTGGTCCCCTGAGCTTCAGCCCAGGCCCAGGAGAGGGTGGGCGCCGCCTGCTCACCGCCAGGCCGGCCCAGCGCCTTCACGCCCTCAGGGTGACCTGGGTCCGGGCCCGCACGGCTGGGCGCCCGCCTCCCGCTCCCGGGCCGTGAGAGCGGCCGCGCTCACCTCCTCCCTTCTCCCGCAGGAGGACTGCATCGCCAGGTACCGGCTGCTGGTGGAGCTGGTGCAGAAGAAGAAACAAGCGAAAAGCTGAGAGCACCGAGGACGACGCCCGCCCTCGTTTTCCAAAAGGAATATTTGAAAACTCTTATGCAGAAACTTGCATTTTGTACCTCAGTATTTCTATACGTCATGTGCCTTAGTAAAGAAATAAATAAGAGACGTGTGCGCTGCTGTGGAACCGATCCCGTGTCCAGGCGAAGGGCTGGGGGCCGCGCGGGTACTTTGCTTTCTCCTCGCTGCAAAGGTTCCTTTTGGAGGAGAGCTTCACATAGTGCACTGCGGCAACCGGGAAGAGGTCACTGAGGGGACAAGGACGCAACCCGCTCGCATCTGCTTGGTGACAACAGGGCTGATTTCACCTTCAGTCTTCAAAGCCCCCGAACCGCCGCGAGTGGTCCTGAAAGAAACGCTGGCTGGGCAGGGGCTGGTGCCAAGTTTCGGGGCTCAGGGCGGGAGGTGGTCAGGCAGGGCTGTGGTGTGGCGGCGTCTGGTGCCCATGGTCTTCGTGGAGGCACAGGGCCTTGGAGGGAGGGGACTGGGCACCACGGTCTGAAGCTCAGGGATGTCTCCCCCTGGAGCCTCCGTGCCTTTGCTAGCAACAATTCCTGGCTGCTGTTTTTGTTTTGTTTTGTCTTGAGACAAAAAAAACTATGTAGTCCAGGCTGGCCTGGTAGCTCAGGCTGGTCTTCAACTCTTGGGTCTTCCTGCCTCAGCCTCTCCAGCTCCCAGTACTGCTGTTTGCAGGAGCTACTCCGCCTGCAGCTTTGGGCTTTATTCACCCAGGAATTAAACTCAGGAAAACCAAGCAGCAAATGGCCAGTGAGTCTTCTGGCATCAGGCACCCAGCATGGTTCAGTTAGCACTCGGGGACTTCTGCAACTCCTGTGGGAAAAGCTTCTGAAAGAGCAGTGACATCAGGAAGCCGGGTCCAGTACCCAGGCCACGCGCCCCCTGGGGACAGTCTGCAAGCCAGGAAGGTGGCCTTTGCCCTGGAACCCTGGGTGGGTGCCGCCACAGAAGTGAGCAGGTCAGGGCGGCTTTCCCAGGATCCTCCAGGACTGGAACAAGGCCGCAGTTGGAAATCTAGGACATGCGCAGAAAAAATGGCGGCGAGGTCTTGCAGTTGGGGCCAATCAGGAAGCGCTATCTTTAGTTCTGGTGTGAGATCAAGCGGGCTTGTAATAGGACAGCGTAGCTCTGACGTCAGCCAGAGGCTTGGGGACACGGGAGACTGCAGCCACAGTCTTAGTGCTCACAATGAAGAGCCGTCCTTCTCTCCCTACCTTTAGTAAATGTGAGACCTTGCCCCGCCCTTTTATGTTTTGTCCAATTCTTTGTTGAGGATTCCAAGAATCTGGAATCTCTGCAAAGCGCCCAGAGCACCCTAGGACCCAGGCACCCCGAGGTGCCACGGGGACCCCCTGCGTCCTCTTCCCTGGAGCGGGCAGCCTTGAGGGTGAGGGGCTCCGCCCCGAAGTCGGCAGTAAAGCCCGCCTCCGCCCGCAGCAGTTTAAAAGATGTTAGCTTCCGTGCCAGGCGCGAGCCCGCCTTCCCCGGGTGGTGGTGTTCGGAGCTGGGGCCTGGGGCCTGGCTCCGCCACCCAGGGGACTTTGCCTGAAGCTGCTGCTGCGGCCGTGTCCCGTGCGCCTGAAGACAGCCGCTGCCCCCGCACTCGGGCGCCGGCCGGGCTGCCCGGGCTGCCCGCTCCCCCTCGGTGAGGCCCGCCCTGGCCCTCGGGTCCCGTCTCCCGCTGCGGTAGCTCCTGCTGCCCTCCCCTCGGGACCCGCGTCCGGACCCAGCACCTATCGGCTCCGCCTCGGGGACCTAGCGCCTCCCTAATGGCCCAAGCAAACCGAGCGGCCCCGGGAGGCTGAGGCAGGCCAACCTGGGCTACCCGGTGAGCTCCAGGCCAGCTTGCACTGAAACCCCCTCCCCAAGTGGAAAAGTAACCCAAGCGCGGGCTTCTTCGGACTCCGCCTCTGCGGTCGCCTCTAGTGAACTGGGACCTAAGCTCCTGTGCAGGTTCTTACCCTGAGCTCCACTCGGCTCAGGTTGCCTGCGCTCTCCGCCCGTCTGTCCCCGGGGGACCACGCTTGCTCTGCTTCTCTCACCCAGTCTCGTCTCCTGCATAGCCCTGGCCGGAGGTGGGGTGACATCAGCGTCGTGGTCCGTGCCCGGCCCTGCGGGGGCCTTGGGACCTCACCCGTCCCTGCCACACTGGCCACTGATGGCGACGCCGCCGTCCCGCCAGCCCCTGGGCACACCGAGCTCGTCCCCAGCCCTGGGCCCCGTGTTTGTCCCCGCCAGCAGCCTGCCCCTGCGGAGGGAACGGGACCGCGACCCTGAGCCCCCAGGGGCCTGCACACTCGTGAACCGGCGCGGCCAGTCCCCACAACCAGCCACAGCCATCGCGTCCTTCCTCATGTGTATTTTAACTACATGAGAGGACTGTGAGAAAATATTTAAACTTAAAATACATTACGGTTTTTGTTTTGCTCTGGTTTGAAAAACTTTTTTCTGTGTAGTTCAGGCTGGCCTCTCACGAAGCGCCACTGGGGTGACAGGCCTGCACCACGCCAGGCTGTGTGAGGTGCGTATTTTAATACCACAAGGGCTGGCAGTGTGATGGGGTTTCCTCCCCTCCCCTTGCTCTTCCCGTACAAGCCAGGTGGGCACTTGTGACTGAGCTGTGTATGTCCTTGCCCTTAGATTTTTAGATGTGGTCACGAGGACTTCTGCCCTCTAAGAAATGTCAGCGCTACCACAAGACAAGTCAGGAGGACCCTGCCGTGGGTAGGGGTCCAGACTTGGAAGCTACAGTCACATGACTCTTGGACTCCAAACTCCAAAGCAGCCAGAGAAAGGGGAGAGGGCGAAGCTGCGAACCCTAACTGGGTGAGGGAGTCTTTCGGAGCTACCAACCCCAGCTGTGACCAAACCCAGTGATACCACATTGCAAGGAGCCTCTGTGTGCAGAGTTGTCATAAAGACATTTCCTTTGTTGCCAGTAACCAGGTGAGGAGAGCAGTAACAACTGTCCCCACGTTCACCAGCGTGAGACCTTTTGAGGAGGATTTCCTGGACACTCGCCTAGCTTGCCTGAGGAGCCCGGGTTCCCAGCCCTGCAGAAAGATTTCCAGACATGTATAAAAGCTCACAGCTATTTCATTCTGAAAGGCCAACTTTAATCTGTACAAAAAGATAGTGTTGTCATCCAGGCCTGGTGGCGCACACCTACAGCACACTTCCCGAATCCCAGCCCTCGGGAGGCTGAGACAGGAGGGAGGAGTGCCTTGAGTTCGAGGCCAGCCTGGACTGCATAATGAGACCGTCTCAAAGAAAAACGACAAAGAGGTGATGCTGCGGAGGTGCACTTCATTTTCAGAAAGTGAAAGCGAGATGGAAGAAAGGCATTAGTCTCCTCACCAATTCTATGGAAAGGCCACTCTGTCCACTTACAGTGAAGCTGCGTGTCTTCACAAGGCCTTGCAGTTCCCAGCCCCTCCTGCCGTGGCATGCCCCATTCCCCACCCCCGCCCGGCCACCCGGTGGCTCTTTCCTTGACCTGGGCGTGCAGCCCAGGCCACACATCCCCATGTTGACACAGGCACCTGCGCCAGAGTGGTGACAGGCGACCCCACACACAAAGTGAGCGTGTGCCACCCTCTTTAGGGTTGGAGAGACCTGGCGCTCACACAAGCCCCAAGTGTACAGCGCTGCGACAGCCTCCCACATACCACTGTCAGGTGCCAGCCTTCGGGACGGGGTGTTCTAGATGAGTTCATCTGCAGGAGAAAGCTCCTCCAGCACCTGGACCTCACTCCTTAGTGTGGCTCTCCAGGGAACCACAGAACTGGCCCTAGGTAGGTGTGAACACACAGGTCTGATCAGAAACGGCCACGGTTTCGTCTTTAAAACCACTCCATTGCCGACAGTGCACTGGCCCCTCTGTGTCTGGCCTCCCTGTGCACACAGCCCCACATGCTGAAGCCACTGGAAATGGCTCCCTTTCATGGTCACCAGGACCTGGGGAGAGCCACAAGTGATGGGGAGCCAGATCCAGCAACTAAGGTAGATGAGTGGTGTCTTTAGGAGCTGCCCTTCCGCTGACGGCACTCACCTCTCCTCACTCCTTGGAGACACTGGTGAAAGAGAACTTTGGAACTGCTGAAGTGTTTGTGGGAAGGGCCACTTCTATTTTAATAAATTTAAAAACTGAAACATTGGGGCTGGGGATTTAGCTCAGCGGCAAAAGCGCCTGCCTGGCAAGCGCAAGGTCGTGAGTTCAGTTCCTGGTACCAGAGAAAAACCAAA